ACGTTAGGGAGTTTTTTGGCGTGGTTTTGGAACTAGCTCGTCCTTCAGAGGCACGGTGTTTCCCCCCCGGCAGGTGATTTTTTCGAAGCTGTTTTACTGCAGCAGCCGCAGGCAATACTGCAGCAGCCGCAGGCAACAGAAGCTGTCAAAAAATGTTGTTTTTCTAAGATTTCAGACGACACGTTAGGGAGTTTTTTGGCGTGGTTTTGGAACTAGCTCGTCCTTCAGAGGCACGGTGTTTCCCCCCGGCAGGTGATTTTTTCGAAGCTGTTTTACTGCAGCAGCCGCAGGCAACAGAAGCTGTCCAAAAATGTTGTTTTTCCCCCGGGAAAATGTTGTTTTTCTAGGATTTCAGACGACACGTTAGGGAGTTGTTTGGCGTGGTTTTGGAACTAGCTCGTCCTTCAGAGGCACGGTGTTTTCCCCCCTGCAGCAGCCGCAGGCAACAGAAGCTGTCGAAAAATGTTGTTTTTCTAGGATTTCAGACGACACGTTAAGGAGTTGTTTGGCGTGGTTTTGGAACTAGCTCGTCCTTCAGAGGCACGGTGTTTCCCCCCCGGCAGGTGATTTTTTCGAAGCTGTTTTACTGCAGCAGCCGCAGGCAACAGAAGCTGTCCAAAAATGTTGTTTTTCTAGGATTTCAGACGACACGTTAGGGAGTTTTTTGGCGTGGTTTTGGAACTAGCTCGTCCTTCAGAGGCACGGTGGTTCCCCCCCGGCAGGTGATTTTTTCGAAGCTGTTTTACTGCAGCAGCCGCAGGCAACAGAAGCTGTCGAAAAATGTTGTTTTTCCCTTGGGAAAATGTTGTTTTTCTAGGATTTCAGACGACACGTTAGGGAGTTGTTTGGACTGGTTTTGGAACTAGCTCGTCCTTCAGAGGCACGGTGTTTTCCCCCCGGCAGGTGATTTTTTCGAAGCTGTTTTACTGCAGCAGCCGCAGGCAATACTGCAGCAGCCGCAGGCAACAGAAGCTGTCAAAAAATGTTGTTTTTCTAGGATTTCAGACGACACGTTAGGGAGTTCTTTGGCGTGGTTTTGGAACTAGCTCGTCCTTCAGAGGCATGGTGTTTCCCCCCGGCAGGTGATTTTTTCGAAGCTGTTTTACTGCAGCAGGCGCAGGCAACAGAAGCTGTCCAAAAATGTTGTTTTTCCCCCGGGAGGTAATTGTTTCGAAGCTGTTTGACTGCAGCAGCCGCAGGCAACAGAAGGCAACAGAAGCTGTCGACAAATATGGCGTGGTTTTGGAACTAGCTCGTCCTTCAGAGGCACGGTGTTTTCCCCCCACGCAAGGGGGAGCGCGCCAGGGAATAAGACAGAGCAGCGGCAGTGGCAGTAGCAGCGGCAGCGGCAGTGGCAGCAAGGCCAGAGTAGCCGAGGGCATTTGCAAGCTTGCAACAGCAATCAGCGGCAGTAAGAGCAGCGGCAGTCGCAGCAGCAGCGGCAGGATATTTTTTCGCCAAATCAGCGGCTGTTTCGCAGCAGCAGGAGTAAGAGCAGCGGTAGTGGCAGTAGCAGCGGCAGCAGCAGAGCAGCGGCAGTGGCCGTAGCAGCGGCAGCGGCAGTGGCAGTAGCAGCGGAAGCAGCAAGCCCAGAGTAGCCGAGGGCACTTGCAAGCTTTCTACTATGAATACTTCGGATAATTTAGGTTTTTTTTCCTGACAGTCTGCAAGTTTTCCAGGAAGAGTGGATAGCTCGTTTATTGTACCTTTCATACCAGCCAAAATCCATCAAATTGCACGAGCGGAACCATGGTAAGAGATGTCCAAGCGTTATGTTTGGGTTCCATTTAGGATTTCCTTCAAAGCTTATTAGAGTGTCGTCTCGGGTCTCTTGAGGATGCCATTTAAAGTTTCATACAAATGGTTTGTTTAGGTCAGTTTCTGGTTTCTTTAGGGTTCATTTCATTTAGGATCCAAACAGACGAGAATAAAACAAAAGAATTAGACTTTCATGTAGAGATTCTCTGGGATTCGCTCGGGTTTCGCGTTTCTTACAGATTTACATCTCTTGGAGGTTTTCTTTCAGGTTTCTTTCAGGTTTCTGTCGAATTTCATGCAGGGTTTGCTTCAGGAATTCTTTCAGTCCTTCCGGGGTCGGCGGCAGGGGCGGCAGCCCTTAAATTACACCCTTGCACAGTTTTGTGAACTTGTGCATTTTGCCATGCTTCATCATGTAAAAAATGCACTTTCTAGGCCTCAAACCGTGTCCATCTGATATCGATCGTGGTTTCTTGAAAGTCCAGTGAATTTACCGCAAATAAACAATGCTGCTAAGTTTGTACAGCACCTTTTGAGAAGATCTAAAGCCCTTGACACTTTTGTCGGTCTTCAGTGGAAAAATACAACAAACCTCACACTACTGCTTTCTTGACGGGTTTCCTGTATTGAATTCCAATTATCCCATGATCATCCCCTGTCTCTCACAACATCATGAAACCTGGGTATAAACCCACAATGATTGTCTGGGCATTGCTGACATCGTTCATTCTTTAATCGCCAAGGATTCACACACCCAACCACTCCAGGACCGCGCCTTTTGATGCTGGGACGGCAGGTGAGTACCAGAGTTGAGACCACTGCCAGGATGAGTGCAAGGATTGCTGGCTTCAGAACAAGATCCTGCGCACGGATCGTGGTGCTTCGCTAATTCAGAAATAATTATAAAGGGTGCAAATCAAGGGGTCAGACAATTAGATCCTTAGTTTTGCAAATGGAACAAACACACCAAACAAACCAAAAACTGCCTGCCTACCACGGACCTTTGATGAGCTTTGGAGCAGGATGCAGCTCTTCGGTGAAACACGTTTGCCATCTGTGACACTGCTAATGACTGGGGAAAACTTTATGTTTTGCCACCCTTTGGCAATCAAACAGGATAACTGGAAAACCGCGTGTTTGCATTTTTTACTTCGTATTCAATTGCAGATATCCCACTGCCAGCTTCGATGGTCATAGGGTGTACTGAAAACATGATTGAATCTCGGCTGGATCTTGTTGTTCGTCGCCACGAAAAGCTCAAGGATCCTAAAGGTTTAAGCCAAAAGGTGCGTGACACAGCAGTCATTCACAACCAGGCTTCTCCAAGACCATGCATACGACAGCGTGGAATCACACCGTCTTATCTACTGGTGTGAATGCGGCAGTACTAGATACAAAACAAGGCATGCAACTCTATTCCGATTGAACTGGCCAAGATGGCTCACCAGACTGTCTCATTCTGGTACTACTGTATTATTCCAATATCTATCTATACACTTCCAAGTCTCTCAGTTCAGCTTCTTCCCGTTGATGTATCCCTCAGCGAGCGCTCTGACCAAAAAGTCAGGCTTCATGCTCTAGGTCAAACAGTCCGCCAACTGTCTGCCAGTGTCAATCCACTGACTCATCTCCTGCTGGGTGATACTTCTCACATGCTTTCTCACCATTGATCCACAGAGCTTGCCTCAGCGCGGAAAGTTCAATTCCCAAGCGCTTGTCTTGCACCTTGCGCGCAACCTCGCAAGACAAGTGGTCACGCAGGGAGCGGCAATCTGTAAAGTACAGATGCAACATCGCGCGTTGGCTCTGTTCATACCATTCTTTGACTGATTTCAAATGGCCAGTCAATTCACAAAGCAAAGCACGTAGCTTGTCTCCAGACTCAATTGATCCCTGCAGAGTGTAAGCCTCACCCTGCAGCGTAGCTCGGCAAACTCTTTTCAGGGTCGACGATCCAAATCCAATCAGGTGAAACTTGTGCTCACCCAATTTCACATCATTCCGAGACGTGATGGAATGGATACGTCCCTGTTGGCTCTTGAACTCAGCTTCATTTGCAAAGCTGGCGTCAGAAAAGGTAAGGACCGCAAGATCGTTCCAATCAATCCAGTCAGTCTGGAAAGTGATTTTGAAGTCACTTCCCTGCAAAGCGAGTTCCACAACTTGATTGGCGTCCTTCAGGCTTTGAACTGTGCTTTTGGAATGGCAACAACGTTGAAGTTCATTTACGCGGTAAGCAAGATCTGGCCGTCCATATCGGCTCACCCATGCCAGTCCTCCAACGACACTTCGGAGAGAAGTCAATTCCTCCCCAATTGCGACTGGTTTGAAGTTCCGAGTGTTGTCTCGGACGTCCACATGCATTGTGTGATCATCAGATCATCATCCTGGGAAAAACGGCGACCACAGTAGCGAAACGAACCTTCCTCAATCTTCCCAACCGAAAAGCGGCTGAGGATATAGCATCTACGGCCTCCTTACCTTCGTCCGTGTAGGCGAAGAGCAGGTCATCCACATGAGTGCAGATCATAGCAGCAAGCTCCTGGGCATTGCCAGATCTTTCGTTCCGTACACTGGGACTCGACACATCAACACCGCGTCCTCCGGGATCTCAGCATCAATCATCGTCAATCCTCCGCGAGGCGAGGCCATTAGCAGCAACCTCGTCATCGGAGCCGCCTGAAAGTAGGCGTTCGTGATGTCCGCTGTTCGAAGCTGAAGTTTGCGAGTAGCGGCATAGCTGCACAACACCAGATGGGACTCATGGCTCTGACATTGGGCTATCGCAACGGATCTCTTCCTTGTTGGCGCTTTCAAAGTTCCCGCAGCTGACAAGTCGGCTCTTGTAAACCGGCTTGAAGTCACAGCTGTTCATCTCATGGATGTTCTTGATGGTGTCTACCCACGTGCTGGGTATCGCATGATGTCCTTCTGACAACAGTCGCGCTTTCTAAGCGCCAGATACAACCACAGTGGCATTGAAAGATCGGTATTTGTTCCATTCCTTCTGCCTTGCTTCCAGCATTCCCTTACGGGTCTTCCCATTGACGTCGTTGATGTTCAAAGTTTTAGCGATCTTGCCTTCGTGTGTTGCAGCAGCGGCATCGGGACCCACACGTTGGGCAGCGAACGCGGAAAACTTGCAAAATCCTCTCCAGCAGCAGCTTCGAGCAAAGCCATGGCGAGGAAAGGGTCTTGTGCCCTTTTGAAAGAGGTGAAACCGGTCCATGCCTGCATGACACTCAACCTGACTACTGTTACCTATAGGGCAACCTCGCAGTCCTTCACAGAACCATCCGTGAAAATCTTCCGCACCTTGCACGTGGAACCAGCAAGATATCCCTCTGGCACTTCCCCCTCGTCGAGGGGATTGTAGTCCTTGAGCGTTGGCTAAACATGAACTTGGATTGCACAAGAGTCACTGATTCTCCAGTGGTCTTTCGTTTCCACATCTGCCATCATGACACCTCCCTCCAGTGCTCCTGATGTCTTGGGAGCAGATCGGGCAGACTTGCCCGTCTTATCTTTGCTTTCGAACTCCGAAGGTTCCAAGATGTCTTCTGTCTCGCACTTTTGTCCACGGCCACTTCCTGCAGCTGAGCTCGACGGAGCTTCGTCGGCAACTCTCAGGTACTTTTGCTGTTGGGGGCCAGACACGATCACTACAGGCAAAACTGGGATGTTGTTCAGCAGTGAGTATGCCAGGGTCTCGGCTTCATCTGCTGATCTCATCTTGTTTTTGGCATCCAAAACGGTAACACCTTCATGTAGAAGTCAAAGACCACGGTGTGGATCTGAGCCTATGATGCGCGAAGCGGTAGACCAAATCGTCCCTCCGACTTGGTTGTCGCGGCGGTACACCACAAGATCTCCGACCTTGAAGGTTTTGTCCTGTACAGCTGCATTTCGCAGTAAAGCTCTTTGGATGCGCCAAGACGTGTCTAGGTGCACAAATGCGCTTTGGGCTGACCTTCTGGCTGCACGGTTCAAATGAAAACGGGCTGATGGATCCAGTGAATCTTCAAGTACACCAAGGTTACCGGCTTCATCCAGGTCAGTCACGCTGCCTGGTAACCTTGGGGTCTTGCCAAGTACCCGCTGTGCTGGGCTATACCCATGGGTCCTTGCGATCTGATTCTTGATGACCAAGGCCTCATGCAAGCACACGGCAAAGTCCTTTTCTCCTGCGGCTTCTGTGTCATTCACAATCTTTCGAAGCATAGCCTCCATGATCCCCTCAGATCGCTCCACTTTGCCACTTGCAGTGGGCCTCTCAAGAGGTGCAAGAATGATTTCACAGCCATGTGATTCCAGGAGCATTTCACCCCACCTGCTTGGGCCAACCTGCCCAACTCACCCATCTGCTAATCATTGCATTGGCACAGCGTGCAGATGTCGGCATGCCACCTCCAACCTTGACTGCCTCAGCCAAGTGGAATCCAGCGGAGGTATACACAAAGCCAGGTATGGAATATTTGTTGCCAGCATTATCTCTTCTGCAACATCCATCCCTACACATGCATTGAACTCAAACTGAAACTTAGGTTCTGGCGGATGCTCTCTGGGGCGTGGCTTGGCATCGTCACAAACTGTGCATCTGACCAAACGTGCACTCTCAACGAATTCAGCAGGTGCCTTGCCTGCCTTCACAAATGCTCTCAGGGTCTGAGGCGCCTAATGGCAATGTGCATGCGCTGTGGGAGTCTTCTCCACGGTGCTCTTCGCTTCTGCTCATCGATGGTTCCTGCATGGCAAGGCAAATTGGTCAAGTGCAAGGGATTCTTGCTCAGCTAGTGTCAACTTTTGTAAGTCCACATAGTCTTCCATGGGTTGCATCTGCATGTCATCAGATGAGGGGTCCAAATCCTCCTCGTCATCTTCAATTGTTTCACCAACAAAACACGTACGTGCAAAACTGCTAAGATACCTTTCTTCCGACGTTTTGCAAAGCAACTCAAGCATGGCAAGTCCTTTGGGATCTTCAAAACATGTGGGGGCAACACCAGACTTATCCGAAGTCAAGATCTCCTCTTGAAAGTCTTCTGCAGCTGGGCCTGGCAGGTAATCGGTCAAATCACCACGTGTTGACATGCATAGGTCATGGAAATCATGGAACTCATGGCGGGGACAGAACACAACAGCTCCACAGTTGTTCAAGTCCATCTCAATCCAAAGATCTCCCAACCGATCCAAATGGTCAGTTTTGGAAATGTATGCAACAATCAAACCAGGTGGCTTTTGGGAAACTGTTTCCATCAGCTTCGCGCGTGTCTTTGCCAAATCCTCCTGGATGTCCAGGGTCTCAACTTCATCACGGGTTTTCCAAGGTAAATGGCAATCCTTCAAAACAACCATGTGACGTGAGTCCAGTGGGGTCTGGCTCACCAACGCTGTCAAAATCCTGTCTTGCTCATTCATGATGGGCAACCCTACAACAAATGCTTGCTTTTCACCCTTGTTCATAGTGCAACACGAAACTCTGAAGACGGTGACAGAACGATCTCTTGGCCAGGTGGCTGCACAGTCAACTGCTTGTCGAAGTCCTGAGATGCATCTAAGGCACATGCTGGGTGATCACCTACATCATTGGACAATTGGAAAGGACCAACAACACTTTCATCGGAAATGTGTCTTTGGGGGTTCTCTTGAACTGGGGGGTTATTCCCGTCAACCGGCAACTGAACACCAAGCATTGCGGAACCTTCTTCTGCAGGATACTCGGTTGCGTTCCCTGCTTCTGGAGGAGGGTCGTTGATGTTCTGGTCATCATCTGGAAGTTCTCCTCCATCACCGGGCTCTTCATGACCGTCTTCCTTCTGATCATCCATTGGATGTCCAAAGCCAGCACCTCCATCACCACTGCCTGCTTCTCCAAGATCATCATCAACCTCCTTGGTGAGTGCATCACCGGGTGCAAAGATCATAATCCTCGACTGGGACTCCTGATTCCAAGCTGGTGGATCTGCGCAAAGCTCTGGCACCGGTCAGAGTCCACTGCCCTGCCACATAGTCATACGTAGTGGCAGCCCATAGCCCATGGCACTTCACCCTTCATCACTGATATTCAGTGGTGAACAGACGAGGCGCTGGATCATCACCCAAAACGACGACCTTGATGTTAACTGGACTCATGGTTGGCTTGCTCTAGTGCAGTGCGCTCCCTAGAAGCTGGGTCAGACCCTTGACAATAGGGGCCAATCCACCTCAGGCAAAAAAATGCCTTGAAAATCCAGCCCTTGTTCTCGGCGAAGTACAGCTCGTCCAGCAACTCCACAGGCGTCTTACCAACTTGGGCTCTTCGATTCCATGCCTCGGGACCAGCACCTAGTACCGGGAATTTCCAGTGAGCAGCCAGCGATTTGTCACATAGTTGGTGTACCCGGACTGCTTTGGCCAGTATCGCTCGCTCTCAGAGCGGCTCCTGTCAGGCGGTGGAATTGAAGGTGGTCTTGGGACGGTGGACGTCCTCAAAGTTCAGCGCGTGGCGGTGATGGTGTTCTTGGTCTCTTCGATGATCTTCTCCTGGAATCACACGAATTGCTCCTTGTTCGGGATCGTCGACGCCGTCCTCGAGAGTGTGAACGTGACCGCGCCGGAGTCAATGCGACGACTCCTCCTTCTCCTTCTTCAGGTCATCCAACTGCTTCTGCATTGCCTTCATGGTCTCAAGCAGCTCAGGCGTCAGAGGCGGGTCATCTCGACGTCCGGCACTCATGCTCGATGCCCTTGACAATGCATAGCCAGGGTGCAGAGCTCCTCGACGATCTTTTGCTCAACCACGCGCCTCCGGTCGCACGGGGGTTCGAGATCTCACCGGAATAGGCTGTCTGTCCTCTCTTGGCGGAGGAGGCGGTGGCGGCTTCTTGACCTCAGGCGGTGCTTGCTTCGTGGTCACCACTCTGACAGGTGGTGCCTTGAACCAGCCTTGGAAGTCTGCTTGTCCTCTGCCTTGGCGCGCTTGAGCACAGGCGCTCCATAGTGCTCCATGCGAACCAGGCTTTTGCGCAACCTTGTTCGTTGGTATTGGCTTGATCTCAAACATCTCTCGGCGTACTCTGGCCAGTGTAGCTTCATCTGGTTTCTCGTTCAGGTACGAGTCAACCAGTGCTTGCACGCAAATATTTGCTGCTTCTCTGACCTCAGCAGATTCATGCCGGAATTCCATGCATTCACCCTTGCAGTTTCCCTGCATCTGGGACTACGATATAGCAGCAGTGGCATGAGCCACACTGATCTCATCCCCTGTGATCACACTATAGGCTGATGCAAGCATCCAACTCACTCCAACAGAGCGGTGACGGTTCTTGTTGCAGTAAACCACCATGCCAACATTCTTTTTCGTCTCCACCAAAATGCGACGCATCTCCACCAAAGCAGCTTGGCTCTCCGTAGTGGCAAAGAAACCCTTCAGGATCTCAGGCCCCACAGTGAGCGGTCATGATTGGGATCCCCAAACTTCAACACATTCACGATCCATGTTGTCCGCGTGGAAAGGCCAAAGGTGGGTTGGCACCTGCAAACTCTTTACCACATGAGATCAACACCGCATTGGGGTTGTCAGCTTCGATCATGGGCTTGAAGAAAGTCTCAGCTCTTTCAAGCTGGAAGGAAGTTTTTTCTTTTACCTGGCAAAGTTCGACCTCTGGTCCACCTATGCCTACCGTGCACTTGCTTTCACCCATCATTTTGACCAAACCCATTGCTGCTTGCACATGCTGTGACAACAACAATGGCACCTTGCCATCAATGACATGTGTTTCCATGATGCCAGACAACTTTTGGTTGTTGTTGACAAATGTGAGAGCAAAAGGGATGCGGTAGCTACCATGGGCTTTTGGTGACTCCTGGAAGACCTTTGAAAGGTTTGGCCTCATCTGAAACCTTCACAACATCATACCCCAAGGCAACATATGCTTCAACAGCTCGTGACATCCATTCAGAACCACAAACAGTTGAATTGCAATCTTCATCCAAAACTGCCCAAACACCTTCATCATTCCAAATGTCAGTCACACGCAAGGCAGGTCCAACAATCTGATCATCCATGGGCGGCAAAGCTACTGCTATAAAGCAGTGCTCAGGGCCTGCCTCTTGGACAGCCTCAATGGCATTGGCGAGGATCTCGGAGACAACGGCAGCACACACAGGCTCTCCGGACTGCAGCTCCAAGTCAAGATCTTGTTGGAAAACGGTCATCATATGGTATGCTCCATCTTGGTCCAAACAAACCTCTTCCTTCTCAGATCCGATCAAACTTTCAGTGGTGTCAATTGCAGATAAAGGAAGTGTTGCAATGTCTCTCCCCAATTGACGTCTTCTCCTAGCTTCTGCCTGGGGCATTTCATCCACAAACGTACCACACTGTTTACAAAAGAAACGTGCAGTGAACTTGCTACTTCCACGCTGGTCCAAATTCTGATGCTTGCATGTTTCAAGGTTCTCAGGAAAACCTCCACACGCTTTGTCCTGGTTGAGTGCCCACAATCCAAACATGGCTTGATCTGAATGTAGACCTGTGAAGCGGCTGCGTTTGCCACACTTGGGATTTTGTGTTTTTTTGCCTCCCAGGCCCTGCGCGCTTCTCATGACATGAACGTGCAACAGACGAAGCTACTTCCAAAGGCATCCAAAGGCAACATGCACGGGTTGGCTTCATGGGATTCACCATCAACCTCATAGTTGTCAATGGCCCAATCCAAAAAGTCTGCCAAACCCTTGCTAGGTGACTTCTGCTCCTTTCCCCATAGGTAATAACCGGGTACCTATGCAAAACTTCATGGTAAGACAAACCAACATGTTGACCAAACGTGAAGTTGCTATCCGACCCATCAGGCAAGCTTTCACTTCTGACTCCCTGTGCAGAGGCTGAGACACGGGTTCGACGTGCTCGGTCCTCACCGTTGTCGCTGACCATGCTGAAATCACCTGAGTCGGCTGATCCACCTGCTGAAGGTGGCGCTCTGGCCGAACGTCTGGAAACTGGGGTCCTACAAGCCATGGACGCAGCATGTTCCTTCTCCTGACGTGAAAGCACATGCGAAGCACCATACCCACCTGCAGACGACTCTTCATCACTGATTGCAAGATATCCAACACCAGGCGTGGATCTCTGGGGCAGGATCACCTGCCCCCAATGGCCGGGGCTTCCACATCAGAGGCATTTGGAACGAGCTTTCAGCTCTGCCAAACGCTTTCACTGAGCTGTGTCCGGAAAATGTGCTTACCTTTGTTCTTGCCTTTGAAACCCTTGGTCTTCCCCTTGTGGGTGCCAGCGGCCATGTAACCTACATAAAGCTGTTGGGCAGCAGCTGCAAAAGTCATCAAACCCATCAGCTGGAGTTTCATCATGGTCACATTCAGCCATGGCGACCAAGGCAACTGCGGTGTCATCATCTTCGAAGTAGTCCCACCCAGTGGACTGTTCAGATCCATTTTGGTGGGCAATGTACCCATGTTCATCGTAATGTTCTTCGTACCCACCTTCTCCGTGATATTCCTCTGGCTCATGCCAAGTCTCCTAACTGGCTTCTGTCCAATGGGCTGTGCGGTTGTTTCCATACCAGGGCTTTTGCGGTCCTTTGAATTGTCCTTTATTCTGGGGATAGTTGGAACTGGACTTGTACTGTGGCGCAAGGGATCTGGAATCCTTCAAGTGGCTTCTCCCATGATGTTCAAGCAAAATGGCTGCATAATCATCAAACGTATGACTCTTGGAAGCGGTTCTGATCATGAGCTGCTCCTTCTTGGTCAAGCCAGCGCTTTCTATGAGAAGCTTGGCACACATCCGATCGGAAATCAGCATGTTGGAATCAAGCTCTTTCACTTGGCGCCACCATCTGCGGCGTCTTGAGATGAAGGAAGTCGCTGACTCCCCTATCTGGCGTGACAAGGGGCCATGTTGCATCTGTCCTACTAGGAAAAGCTCCTTGGCTTCCAGAGACTACAAAGGAAAGATCATCTTCTTCAGGGTTGCAATCAAGGTTTCACCTCTTCCATCTTTCATGAGGGTCTCGACTCCAAGCTCCTGAGCTGCTAAGTAAGCGTCGCCTTTCAAGCCTTCCAACACCTTCTGCACCAATTCAGCTCTCAGGGAATCAATCTCTCCTGACAGCTGCTCATCCTCGACTGAGCCAGGAAAGCTAGGCGCAGGATGAGGTGAAGCATAGTCTGAACGCTCCTCCTCCTGCTGGCCATCTTCCTGTCCATCTTATCCACCTTGTCCATCTTCAGGGCTTCCAGGATCGCTCTGTTCTCTTTGTCTCCTCGGCACTCCAGGCGCGTCAGTCGTCTGGGATCCATCATCTCCTCCTCGTCCAACGACGGGACTCATCCCAGCACGTCCTCGTTCCCGTGAAGCTGACGCAGATTTGGATTTACGTTACTATGTTCGAAAACCATCCAAAACCTTGTGCCTGATCTTCTGTTTGAGGACCTCCACGTGCACTCGGGTCCTGAACTCCCACTCATGGAATCCACTTGGGCTTCCAGAGTAGATGTACGAACCAGACTTGGTCTCTTGAGGTGCCGTGCTTGAGGTGCCGTGCCAAAGGTCACAGACTGATACCTCAATCCTGCAAGGGACATTGATACAGTCTTTCTTCTTGATCAACAACGCTGTCGTAGGTCTTTGATCAGCGCTAAGCTGTCTCACACACAAAGTCACCTTCCTGGATCTGCGAGTTACCATGAGAGTCAAATCCCAGGGGTCACCCTCCGGAACCTGCTCCGCTACCAGTTTGAATCTCGGCTGGATCCTTTTGTTCGTCGCCGCGAAAAGCTCAAGGGCCCCAAAGGTTTAAGCCAAAAGGTGCGCGACACAGCAGTCATTCACAACCAGGCTTCTCTAAGAACATGCATACGACAGCGTGGAACCACACATGTTTTCACAGTGTTTCCGAGGACCTACATGCAAACGTGGACTGCAACAGGATTCATCATCTAAGGCTCACAACAACTCGTGCGAAGACTGTGGCATTTGACTCAGCACGCTGTCACCCAGAAAAAAATACGGCTGTCCAGAAACAAACCATTTACAGCTCCTTTATGGGTATTAGATGGGAGTAGCAAGCGAATCTGATGTTTTTTCTTGTAAAAAAATGCGGCACCCAGATCCGAATTTGGAAGGGTTTTTCACGAAGTTCACACGTTACGCACCAAACCCAGGGACTTTCCACGAGTTCCTGCAGCAGGGACATTGCAGTAGCCTCCAGCAACTGGTTGGCATCCTCCTTGGGGCCGAATGCAATTCCGAAAATGATTTTTATGTGTACGCAATGAAAATAGCCCGTTGGAGTTTTATTTACCTTATGTTTTTGGACGAACCCAACCATCTTCGCGCTACACCGTATAAAGTCATCAAATTCCTGAATTGGGGGACCCCTTGCGAAAGAATATATACCGAACAAGAAGAAATTACACGATCGAACAAGAAATAAAAATGCTACACAAACACACACGCACACACACACGCGGACACACACGGACACACACGGACACACACGGACACACACGGACACACACGGCACCATGCCGGGGTCACCATGGAAATCACACTAGACAAGAATTGACAAGAACTGGATCATTACAGTGATCCGTCGGGAACTGAATCCCACAACGTGCAATTAGACAAGGAAAAAAGAATCTTCGGTCCGGTTCTTGGCTTAGCCGGTCGCCAAACACACGCACTGATTGCTAAAAGAATTGGATGTGTGTTGCGGTTCTTGGCTTAGCCGCGTGCCATTCCCGATAAAGTAACACGCCTGCAGGTACATCAAAGGGACGTCTCCCTCTGATATCACTATGATATCGAGCCGCCTTCGTTGGCACAAGAACCAGAGTCACACCTGTGCCCCCTGCTTTAATAAAACATCTCATATATAAAAATGAGCCGGCAGTGAAGTTTTACGTGTGTTCAGAAGTTCCCCACACACACACACCCTGCCTTAGGCAGGGTGGTCTCCTTGCAAATGGGGTGAAGATGAGGATGAAGAGGGGAATGAAGATGAGATGAAAGCGAAGATGAAATGAAAAATTACTTCACCCGGACACGAGGAGGGGAACACAAAAGAAGAGGGAGAGAGCAAACACCCACGCCAACACACCTGGCCCGGAGCGGGCAAACCCTGAAAGGGCAAGGGAAAAGAAAAGCGGAGGCCGACGGACACGGAAAAAGACCAGCGGAGGGGGGGAGGACGGAAGCGCCTGAACCAACCTACCACAGCGAAACCTACGCCTACATAGGCACGCACAGGACCCAACCTACCTGGGGAGGGACGAACGCATGAAATAGGGGACCAAATGGGGAACTAGTTCGTCAAGAGGAGTGAAACAACAAAAAAGCTAAATGGGATTCAGTTCAAACCTAAAGAGTCATGCGTCACTCCCTCGAAGGGACGGTAGTCGGTCATACCACGGGCAGTAAACGGCTGCTCAAGTTCAAATGAATTAGATGCACAAAATGTTTGACCTCACCAGACAACCATCAAAAGAAAGTACTCACCACACAACTGGAAAGCGTGTACCTGCCTTCAGTTTGCGTGTCATGTCAGTCTCGTGAGCATCAACGAGAAAGGAAGGTTTACGGCTTTTCGCAGCTTCATGAGTCGAGGTGAAAGTTCCAAGGTGTCGTAGAAAGGAGCGGCGGGACACTGCAAGAAGGTGCATAACCGACAGGCCGGCTGTTTCACAATACATAAACAAATTACTATATCAAAATGGGTAAATTCAGAAGTCAAAAAAGGTTCCCTCAACTCAATTGGGTCCATGGCACCGTGGCGGAGTCACCATGGAAATCACACTAGACAAGAACTGGATCATTGCAGTGATCCGTCGGGAACTGAATCCCTTAACGTGCAATTAGACAAGGAAAAAAGAATCTTCGGTCCGGTTCTTGGCCTAGCCGGTCGCCATACACACGCACTGATTGCTAAAAGAATTGTATGTGTGTTGCAGTTCTTGGCTTAGCCGCGTGCCAAAGTAACATAGCTTGCAGGTACATCAAAGGGACGTCCCCCTCTGATATCACTATGACATCTGGCCGTCTTCGTTTGGCACAGGAACCAGAGTCACACCTGTGCCTGTGCCCCCTGCTTTAATAAAATAAATTTCCTGCAGCGAAGTTTTACGTCTGTTCAGACATTCCACACACGCACACACACTGCTGAGGGAGTAATTGAATTGCTTCGACTTGGACCTTTACAAGGATGAAGTTGCCGTTGCCTGTTGAAGTTCCTTGTTTAAGAAAATTTACCCTGACAAAGGGAAAGGTGCTTCCGAATGGTTCAAACACGGCACAACCACGAACAGAAACCAAAATCAACATTTCAACTAGTTGACTGCAGGTACAGTGGGATGTGATAACGTCCTTTGGCTCTTGGCACACGGATGATGATGATGATGATGATGATGGTGATGGTGATGGTGATGGCGATGTTGATGTTGATGTTGATTATAGTCCTAGAGACAATGTTGCAAAAAATGTGGTTATGATGATGAAAACAATGATGGTGCTGATGATGGAATTTGTATGTTTTTGATGATGATGAGGATGATGTTGATACTGGAAAATGATGATGATGCTGATGATGAAATATGTATGTTGTTGAAGGTGATGTTGATCATGATGATTGTTATTATTACTATGCTGATGATGAGCAGGAGGAAGAGGTGGAGGAGGAAGATGATGATGCTGATGCTAAAGCTGATGCTGATGATAATGGTGATGGTGAAGATGATGATAATGATAATGATTTTCGAATTCCAAGCGAGTAGATTTTGGAGTTATACAATCGATACATCGCCCGTAGCTGGTGAGGACGAGGCGATTGAGGTGGTGAAAGCTCCCAGGTTTCAAACCACGTTGGGTGATTCAACTGCGACATGTTCCAAGCAGACCTGCGAGTCAAGTCTGGCGCAGAGACAGGTGACAAGATTACATCCAGATGATGCGTCATGCTTGTCGCATCACAGAGAAACGCTCTTTGACTCTCTCCCAAGCTTTAGGCCTTTAGGCTGTAAAATGCAAACCTCAAGTCTTCTGTGTGAGCAGGCAAGATGAATACTGAAGTTGTGACGGCACAATTTGGCAGTCGCTTCCAGAATATCCCACATGGACGACGCGCAAGAGGCATGATGCATCAAAAGAGGTGACCAGAAAACGAATCTCTCGAAATCAACGGCGGCCGGTCATGGCAGCTGTCCGTGAACACACGTTTACGCTGCGTGCTGAACATGGCTCTCTGTGAAGTGGGGCAGTTTTAGGCAAAAATAGCAAAAAGACGGGAAGACACAAAAATATAGCAACCATGTCCGGGCTTCAAGAATTGAAAGGCTCCGGACATGGGTTTTGCAGTTTTGTTTGCTGGTTGCACGTTGGAGACTTAAGCTCCAGACATGGACTCCGCTTCTTGTATTCCGTAGTTGTGATCTCATATGGGCTCACTGATCTTACATCCTTCATTTGCATACTGATACTAGTATGCGGTGGCACTCGCCCTGATTTTGCTAGTCGCTTAAGCCCGGCATCAGAAATATATAACGAAGCTTATGGGGTATCCCAGGGCAATTCCCTTTGCCCATGAGTATAAATATAAATATCTATATTATATATATCAGTACATGTACATATGCAGGTTTAAGAGGCACAACCAACGCCAATAATCCGTGTCACCTATTGGCAGGTTCATGCTTCATCCTCTCAACAGCCCCAAATTGCTCGGGATCTTGCCTTGCTGACGTTGGCAATAAAGGCACAGACGTAGAAGATGCAAAAGCTCTTGTACAAGACCTCGGCCCAAAGGATGCAAACTGCAACTTGCAGGGAAGGCTGACAACATCTGCGGACGCAGCCAAGGGACAGCAAAGAACCAGAATGCAATGGTCCTGCGGGTCGTGTTGATGGCACTGGGCCTTCGGATATTCGGTCGTGACTCCTTTTTGGTGGCCATGAATCAAGCATGTGGGGGCCCGAAACTGAAGTAATTATCATAGGGACAGGGGCCAACACACACAATTTCCACACCCGGGGTCGACTTTGGGCCAGTACCGTCAGATATCTCTTAGGGTCCTGTTGCGCAACCGGTTTTGCCATTCAGTTTTGTCTTCATCAGTCCACTCGTCCCGCTCTTCGATTCTAATTCTAACCATCAGAAATAGCAGGAGGATGATGAAATCTCCAATGGCGGCGGATACCTGAGCTTCAGCTAGAGAGACATCATGTGAGTGTGTGAGTGTGTGTGTGTGAGTGTGTGCATGTATGTGTGTGTGTGTGTGCGGGGAACTTCTGAACAGAAGTAAAACCTCTACTGTCGCTTCTTTTTCAAATTTCTGATTTCAGCAGGGGGAAGTGGCATGCAATCAGGGACCACGTCCAACGAAGCTACCCGATTGCATGAAAATAGAGCCTGATCAGCTCTGATCCAATTATGTCCAATTTGTGTGGCAAGCGGCCAAGCCAATAACCGCCCAGCCGTTTTTTCATGTCTGCACAATTGGCGCAATCTGAGACTGCGGTGAAAGGACAACTACCGATTTATTTCTTTGGACATCTTGCACTGGATCCTCGTGACTGGTCAATCCTACGTGTTTTCCTCCTCTGATCACCAATAATTGAAGTGTTGTTTTGCACGACCAATGAGTTCCACATCACAATTGGATAAGACAAGTCTGAGCAAGTGTGTTACTCACGTCAGTTCGACAAGATGCCGTGAGCCCCTCGGGGAATACCTGTCTAGGTAAGATATTTGATCCTCCGACCTGATCTCTGTAATTCGTCTAAGTAAAATGAAACGGCCAGCCGTTTTTTCACTTTTCACCCGTTTGTCGTTAATTGAACAACTGGCCGCAGTACCGGGCTTCGCCTTCTTTCACTTTTCACCCTGTCGTTTGTCGCTGGTTGAGCAACTGGCCGCAGTACCGGGCTTCATTTCCTTTTGTCCAGCCGCCGAAACCTCCTTTTTCAACTTTGATCGAGAGACTGACAATTTCTGTCATTGCGACATGACAAGGTTCAGGCTTCAGGACATGCCTTTCAGGTGTGGTCACTTTCTTGTGGTTGATCTGGTGTGGTCAAGTTGTGCACGAATTCGAGGGTTGACCACTTCAGCTGTCTATGGGGTTGATCTGAATTTTCCGCCATTGAGCCTGATCAGGGGATTCTGCATTGGATTGTGGATGCACCAATGTGTTATTGAAACGTGTTGGATAATTTGATGCTGATTCTCCCTGCCTCCTCGCTGTGATCCATCTTCCCCACCTGTGCCGGCCATCATTTTTTCTTGGTCGCCATTCTCCTCCTCGCCACCGCCGTGCCACATGAATACCTCTTGCCGAGCTGTATGTTCTGAGCACGGCACTTTAGAGTGACTGTGATTTTCGGTCGGGGGTTTCAATTGGTTTTCCTGCACTCAACATCAGTCTTCCTTGCTTGCATCTCTCCTTTCCACTTTGCAATCACCTCATGCATATCATCAATTTCGTCTAACTTTCTAGCCACTGCCTGCGGATCCAACTTCTCCACCACAAAGGGCATTTACCGCCCATCACGTTCCTTCGCCGTCATTCTCCTCCTCGCCTCAAACACCCCACATTAATGCCCTTGCCGAGCTGCTCGTTCTCTGCACGGCACTTTTGGGTGACTGTGAATATCGGTCGGGGGCTTCAAGTGGTGTTCCTGCACTCCGTCACGTCGCTGGTTTCAGCCCCTTCGTCATCAGTTTTCCATGCTTCCTCAGCAGCTCGCCACTTAGCAATCACCTCAATCTTCATTCATATCCTCCAACTTTCCAGCCACTGCCTGGTGATCCAGCCTCTCCACCCACACAGGGCATCAGGGCAACCACGGCTTGTGGTCTTCCAAAAAAGACCCTGCTGCGGCAGGGTGTGTGTGTGTGGAACTTCTGAACAGAAGTAAAACCTCTACTGCTGCTTCTTTTTCAGCTTTCTGATTTCAGCAGGCGGACGTGGCATGCAATCAGGCCATGTCCAACGAAGCTACCCGATTGCATGAAAATAAAGCCTGATCAGCTCTGCGTGCCTGCTCCACTATCCAATTATATCCAATTTGTGTGGCAAGCGGCCAAGCCAATAACCGCCCAGCCGTTTTTTCATGTCTGCACAATTGGCGCAATCTGAGACTGCGGTGAAAGGACAACTACCGATTTATTTCTTTGGACATCTTGCACTGGATCCTCGTGACTGGTCAATCCTACGTGTTTTCCTCCTCTGATCACCAATAATTGAAGTGTTGTTTTGCACGACCGATGCATTCCACATCACAATTTGATAAGACATTCAAGTCTGAGCAAGTGTGTGTGTGTGTGCGCGCGCAAAGTGTCGCAAGGATGCAGAAGGGTTTTCATTTGTTTCCGCCCGATCGCTGTTGAATAATGGAGTCCCAGTTCCAGTGTGTACAGTCGTTGCTAGCTGTCCAGTTGCGCTCCTGCAGTTCGTGATTAAATTGCCAAGTGACAATGCCAACAGCGATTTTTTGCGACCAATATGCCACGGAACCCTGGGAGTGGGTGCTGGTCACTAGTTAGAGTCAGAGCCAGTAACGCAATGGATAATCTTTTCTTATCAGGGCAAGGACGATGAGAGCACAGTATTCTAAAATATTCGAGAGAATGAATCATCCGAGATGTGGGACCTCAAGGTCCATTTAAGGTCTCGAATCATCTCAAATCCAGTGCCACATGCAAGAAGCCAACAATTTGTTTAGCGACCGCTCGCACTGCGCCAAGCTTCGGATTCGGGTCTGCATGCTGGGTCAGAATCTGGCGGCGGTAATGTACTCGAAAAGAAAACGGCGTTGAGACAGGCACAACTCCAGACCTGGTCAGGAAAAATGAGCTTCATCCCAGATCCCAAGGAGAAATGCTTCCATGGGGTCTCCCGGTATCCTCATATCCATTTTTTTGTCTCTTCACGTCATCGTGATCTGTTGAGCTTGTTCAAAATGGGCCTAAATTGCATGCAATGTTTGCGACACGGACATGCTGATGATCATCCCAATGGAATATGAGCCTGGTCCCGTAGGCCCGCAAATCTGGCAGCCTCTAAGATCAGTTAAGGCAAAAAATTGCCTTTTAGGCAATCTACAAAAAATTGATTAATAGTTAAAAATCAAATTGCCTTATTGCAAGCCTGAGGTAAGTCAAATCCAAAATTTGACTTAAGTCAAATTGGTTAAATTAACTTAAGATATTTTTTAAGCCTAAATAACATGTATTTTTGGCTAAATAACATGCATTTTTTGTTTGAAATATTTTATGTTTTGTCAGCTAAAGAAACATTTGTTTTGTTGTAACGCTTGCATTTTCTCTTGATTGCAGACATTTTGGTCACTGTTTCATGCATGCTGGAGAAAAGAATCTCTCTTGGGATCCATTGTGTTGTCATGTTGTTTGACTGATTTGTGAGTTCATGTAGCTCTGGCTTCACTAGAAAATGTGAAAGAACTGCCTAAGATAAGAATCATGATATCTTGTGGTGGAAGATATTCCTTCTCTAAGCAGCAAAATTCTACCTAATAGTTAGCTTTCAGTTCTGAGGTAAAAATCTAACCATTAGGTAGCTTTAAGATAAATAACCTTAAGTTTATTTGTATGAACAGCATCAAAAAAAAATGATTTTAAAAAAAAACAGTAAAATTCCTTTTTTTTGGAAAAGGCAGAGAATCAATACAGTTAATCAATCTTTGTAGAGACTTGCACGTTACTTAGCTGATTGCAATGTTACTTATTTTCATTTTTTGGAATGTGAGTTGGACAACTCAATTGTTACTTAGACATGTGGTATTCTTGTTCTGCCACCCTTTCTGCTGTTCCCTGTGTTCTCAGCCTTCCTTTACCTCCACCACATGAATTTCTCTTTTCTTCACAATTTGCTCAAGGATCACTGCCTTCTCAGGTATACCAAGGATGCTGCGCAACTTGCCCATGCTACATCACAAAGGCAAGTTGCATAGCATCCTTGGTATACCGGAGAGGGCGGGCTCACACCAATAAGACTTATTTAAACATGCCTGTCATTGAAACAATTGAATTTTGAAAGTTCTTGAAATATTTCAATATGGCTCTGTTGAAATTCGGGCCCCATGGAATACTATCTCAATAGGGCTCCAGTGTTGATTCAACAAAAAACCTAAAAGTTTGATGCCCTTGGCAGCAAAATGTGAATGCTTAAAGGGAAAAGAAAAAGAGGGAAGAGAGAAGTGAGAAGAAGCAGAGGAGGAAAGAGACAGGAGCAAGAATAAAAAGGAAAGAGACAAAAACACAATGTAAAGAGAAGAGAAGAGAAGAAAAAGAGAGAAGAATTAAAACAAAAAAGGGAAAGAGGAAAGAGAAAAGAGAAAAGAGAAGAGAGAAGAGAGGCAAGAGAGTCATTTTTTGGCCCATAGTTGGGAATTTTTCCCCAAAGTTGGGAATTATGTTTCATCCCTTTTACTCGGGCCTCAAAACATTTTGGCCCATAGTTGCCAGTCAATTTTTTTGGTTCCATTTACTTAAGGCCTCCCGTTTTTCCGGCCCAAAGTCGGAATTGAAGTTTTTGGGTCCCTTTTACTTGGGCCTTCAAACAGTTTGGCCCATAGTTGCCAGTCAAGTTTTTGGGTTCCATTTACTTAGGCCTCCCATTTTTCTTGCCCAAAGTCGGGAGTGAAGGTTTTGGGCCCCTTTTACCTGGGCCTCCAAAAATGTTGGCCCATAGTTGCCAGTCAATTTTTTAGTTCCACTTCCTTAGGCCTCCCAATTTTTCTGGCCCAAAATCAGGAGTGAAGTTTTTTCATCCCTTTTACTTTGGTTCCAAAAAATTTGTCCCACTATAGTTGCCAGTCATTTCTTTTGGTTCCATTTCCTTGGCCCCTTGACCAAAGTCGGGAGTGCAGCTATTTCATCCCTTTTACTTGGGCCTCCAATATTTTTGGCCCATAGATGGCATTCAAGTTCTGTGTTTTCTTTGACTTCGTTTTTATTATATTGTTTATTGTTTCATGATTTTTTACGGATCTTTCAAAGATATTTCATGATTTTTTATGGATATTTCAATTTTTTTCATGAAATTTCATGGATCCTTCATGGATTTTTCATCAAAATTTTGATCAACAGGTGCTAGTTACTATAGTTCCACAGTTCCACCTGTGAAGGTTAGTAACATTCCAGTTTAGTAAGTAACACCTGGAGAGCTTCAGATGAGAGCAATATCACTTATGAAGTTACTATAGTTCCACCTCTGTGGAGTCAAAGTTTTGCAAAACCTGATAACTTTGGGTTCTGAATGTATGGACATATGATGTTTCCTCATGAAAAATATCATCATGATGTCAATGTTCAACATTTTTTGTTTATTTTTGTTTGATTTTTGTGTTTCTTCATGTTTTTTCATGATTTTTCATGATTTTTCATGTTTTTTCAAAAATGAATCAGCAGGTGCAAGTTTGGTGCAAGTTTGCTGCAAATTTGCACCCCTGGTGTGCAACTTTGATGCTAGTTTGATGCCACTTTGATGCTAGTTTGATGCCACTTTGATGCTAGTTTGATGCTAGTTTGATATAGTATATTGAAAGTAATTTAAAACTAATAGCTAGCATAGTAGCTTATGAAACTTGCACCAAACTTGCACCCCAAGCTTTGTTTTTTTTGTTGTTTTGTTTTGTTTTTGTTTTTTTTGTTGATGTTTTTTGTTTTTTGTTTTTTTAACATGTGTTTTACATGTTTTTTCATGTGGTTTATTGTTTTTTTGTGAAAACCATTTGGTATTAGTGGGCAACAAATGGATTACAACAGTATGTGTCCAGGTTTTTTTAATACAATATATATATATATTATTTGGTTACCACAACATTATTTTCCAAACCAAAAAGTAACATGTATTTCCAACATGTGTGGAAAATGCACAATGGCAGCTTCCAACCCAAGCACCCAACTCAATTTTAAAAAAATATATATTTATTTTTTCTAACCCTTTGATCAAAGGTCAGCACTGGGTAGGTAATAAAACCCATACATAAACATATGATTATGTGAATTTTGCAGGTTTTTGTCTTAAGGAAGGCAGCAACACTATGAAACCAAGTGCGTCATGATGCAGAAAGCAAAAAAAACATGATCATGGTTTGTCCTTGTTGCAACTCAGTAGGATTCAATCCCAGTAGGATGCCATCATATGGCACTAGTAGGCAACACATGTGATTACAACAATATGTGACTATTTTTTTCAATACAATGTATTATTTGGTAGCCACAGCATTATTTTCCAAACCAAACAGTGCCCATGTGTTTTCAACATGTGAATGGAAAATGCCACCATGGCAGCTTCCAACCCATGCACCCAGCTCAATGTTTTACATTAACAATATTTGTTTGTAGCCTATTGAGCAAAGGTTAGCCCAGGATAGTAAATAGAACCAAGGCATAACCGGCATAACACATGATTTTGTGAATGTTGCAGGCTTAAAATGGAAGGCCCAAGGGCATGGAAGCAAAATAATGACTTCCAGTTGTGCCAACAAATGGGAGGCCCAAGTAAAAGGAAACACAAAATTTGACCGCAAACTATGGGCCGACATTGCTGAAGACCCAAGTATAAGAGAAAAAAAATAATGGACTGCCAGCCATGGGCCAATTTTTTCTGAGGCCCAATTAAAGGGTAAGAAAAAATCAATCCTAATTTTGGGCCAAACTAAACGGACTGCCAAGTAAAAGGGGAAAAAGAATTCCCAACAATGGGCCCAAAAATACACTCTCTTCCTCCTCTGTCTCCTCTCTTCCCTCTGCTAGTTTCTCTCTCCTCTTTCCTCTGCCCCTTTTTGTTAGAGTTTTTCTTTCTTCTCTGCTCTTCTCTTCTCTGCACACTTTGCTCTTGTCTCTTTCCTCTTTCCTTTTTCTCTTTGTTCTTTCTCTGTCCTCTTCTTCTCTTCTCACTTCTCCCCTCCCTCTACCCTTTTTTCCTTCTCCTCTGACCATTCACATTTCGCTGGATAAGGCTTGAAATTTTTGGGTTTCTTGTTGGCACTGGAACCCAATTGAAATAGTATTCCATGGGGCTTAAACTTCAATGGAGCCATGTCGGAATATCTTAGTAACTTTATTGAAATATTTCAATAACTTACAAGATGTTGCAGCAGACTCATGCAGCTTTACAATGTACCTGAACCTGAAACTTCAAAATATTCATGAAATACTATACCTTGTGTTTCTGCAGGTAATCTTCTGCAAGAATGCTGGCGTGCTTGCATGTGCCTGCCAAGAAATAAACACACTTTCCCATTGAGCAGCTGTCAACCTGACCAAGAATTCTGCTCCAAATATGCTTGTCACATATCAAAAAGAACACTGACTCAGAATCCCACCCAACACGCACTCCAAAAAAACATGTGACCTAAACAAAAAATGTTACTGAGACAAGAAAAACAACATCAAAAAAAGGTAATTCCGAGGTTGTTTCAGAATTCACTTAACTTGGAATTGTTATAAGGCTATTAAAATTCTACCTAATAGTCAGAAATTTGTCTATTATTACCTTAAAGGTAGGATTTTGTCTTACCTGAGCTTGATGATAGGAAGATAAGACAAAATAAGATGATAATCTTAATGTGAGCTTAGAGCTTGTTTTATCATCATGTGGTGGATGTGAAGGGATAAGGAAACAAGGCTGGGAAAGATAGGTGACAACACAAAAACAACTAAAATCTAGGTAACATCTCAGGTGTCTAAATAACATTGCAGGGGTAAGACTAGGTAGCATTTGAGTCATTCAAGTCACATCCCAGAGGTCTCAACAGAAAGCTCACCACTTGCCCAAGCAACTTTTGTGTGATCTCATTTCAAAGATGGCAAAGCCGAAGCCTAAGCAAAGGGCAATAATAATGAGAAACTTACTGCAGTCAGAAAGAAGTAAGTGCTTGACATGTAGGAGGAACAGCACATGTGTGAGCATATTTTCTTGCAAAACGCTACAAAACCTGAAACCATAATAACACTTTGATGGTGCAAAGACTATTGACATGTTAGAGCTGCAAGTCTCTTCTTTATCGTTGCTCTTTATTTTTTTATAACAAATCCTTTGATTTCAGTTGGTTTTTACAAGCTTTTCTTAAGGCAATTTAGGCAAATTAACTTAAGTCAATTTTTATCAAATTAACTCTTAGTTCCCCACCTGCCAGGTGAGGGTTGTTAGATTTTATGTCAGTTGCCTCCTCCTGCCTCGTCCTCCTCCTCCTTCTCCTCCTCCTCCTCTCCTCCTCCTCCTGCTCAACCGCGACCCTCGACCACAGTGGTCTCTGTCGGACCTCAACCACGACCATCCACGCCCAGTGTTCCCTGCCGGACCTCAACCACGACCATCACCGCCAGTGTTCCCTGCCGGGCCTCAACCGCGGGTATCCCCGCCCAGTGTTCCCTGCCGGACCTCAACCACGACCATCCACGCCCAGTGTTCCCTGCCGGACCTCAACCGCGAGTATCCCCGCCCAGTGGTCCCTGCCGGACCTCAACCACGCCATCCAGTGTTCCCTGCCGGACCTCAACCGCGAGTATCCACGCCAAGTGTTCCCTGCCGGACCTCATAGAGTGCCAGAAAAGAATGCCAGATAGAATGCCAGAAGATATGCCAGATATATGCCAGAAGATATGCCAGATAGAATGCCAGATAGCCAGATAGAATGCATGCCAGATGCCAGATAGAGAATTTTGCCAGATAGAATGCCAGCAGATTTGCCAGATAATATGCCAGAAGATATGCTAGATAGAATGCCAGATGGAATGCCAGAAGATTTGCCAGATAATATGCCAGAAGATATGCCAGATAGAATGCCAGATGGAATGCCAGAAGATATGCCAGAACATATGCCAGAAGATATGCCAGATATGATCTGCCAGAAGATATGCCAGAACATCTGCCAGAAGATATGCCAGGTAGAATGCCAGAAGATATGCCAGATAGAATGCCAGAAAATATGTCAGATAGAATGCCAGAAGATTTGCCAGTAACAAAATGTATAAATGTCATGGTGGGGATCACACGAAGTAAAGTAATTATTTTTTTGCCTTAAAATTGAAATTTGACTATTAGTCAATTTTTTGCCTTAACTGATCTTAGAGGCAGTTCCATGTGGGTGTCTCTTAAGATTCGGGCACCCGAAAGTTCCCATTCGTTTGCCTTTTGGGCCCCATTATGGCAAATGAATTGCATCATATAGCGGGCCTCCCGTTTGGAAAGAACCTTCCTTTTACCCCTCGGTTTGTCATGCTGTTCTCCAGATTCCCTAATTTTAGGCATGCTGCCTTTCACCATTTAAATTCTCACCTCATGGTTGATATGCATTTTTTGGTAGGCTCCAATGCCCCTTTGTATGACTTTATCCATTGAAATTGTCCATTGAAAATTAACCTTGCCTTCAATTCAATCAGCTCTGTTCGGATGACGCACGGCACGACAATGCCTGGCGCGGTCGGCCCCTCAGTTCAGACACCATTGGCGTTGTGGCTCCTCATACTGTAGAGGAAACCTTGATTCGATCCAATCTTAAAACACAATCATGACAGACCGACTCCATGTAATATCCATGTTGATGAAGAATCGTCAGCAGTTTGGCAGGTAGAATACCTTGACCCAACCCCAGATATCTTATGGTCCTTGTGCGTTTTGCTACAAACGATTTCCCATTTTGTTGTAAATTTGGTTTTGTAGGACCATTTACCGTACATGGGGCGTTGTTGGGGGTTGTAACCAGCAAATTTATCGTTTTCAAGAATGCTCAGCGATATCCTCATCCGGTAGTAGTGTTCGAGCGCCGAACGGGCAAAATAAGTGTCCCGAAGCGTCATTTTTAAAAGCGTCCTAATATGTCCTAATAGATTTGAGTCCTCATGACTTTCAGTACAAAAGTCTTGCATTTTTCCGCTGCAGATCTCATGGCTAAACTTCAATCTGGAGGCCACGATTGTCTCAGAAGAAAAACTGACCTGCTTGACTTTGGAAGAGGAAAATCAAGCGCATTTCCATTCAGGGATAGCCACGCTCCTTGAAAGCATTTTTAGGGACTGAAGCCAAGATGCTGAACTGGGACAATTTGAGCCAGTTGTGGACCGCTGGGAAGAGCATGAACACTCGGCCAAAAAGGTTGCTTTCAAGGTACCTTTTCGCTGCACCTGGTTCATCACAGTGATCAACGGAGTTGATTAAATGCAGGCCAGAAAAGCGGATTTGAGACAACATGCACAAGCAACACGAGGAGGAACCCTGCGGATGCTGACAGAAGATCCGAAAAAGTGATTGGTCTTAGTCTTGCCCAACTCAGTCGACAGCTTCACCACGTGACCTGCTCCACCTTCCATGCATGGCCCTTGCCTGGGAGCTCTGCAAACTGCACAGGGGGGTTATCACCAGTTTTGAATCGTTGATGGCATCATCTCATGGTTGATATGTTTGCCCATTCTTTCACCGTGGGGTACTCAATCCCCAAGTTTCATGGACACACCCATAATCACCCACATATTGGCATCCATTTACACAGGATTTTCCTGTAGCAAATGGTGATTTCTCACTAAATTGCTGGAACTCGCCGGCCTTGACCTTGACAGTGCGTCTCATTCTCCGTACTGCAGCCCCTCAAAACAAATGGAGCCGGGCCCCAAAAGCATTGGTTGAACATGGTTTGATGGGGTCTGAAAATGTCAAACCCAAAGTTGATGATTTATTTGATCATCATTTTCACTATTGAAGTTGCCCTAAAATGGGGGGAGGCAGACCCATTTCAGTTGCGCAATTTAAATCTACAAGTGCAACTTATCTGGGACACCTCCTCCTCCTGCGAGGGAGTGTTACTTCTAGTCGCTTCATCAGAGCTTTTTACTCCGAAACACGAAATCTAAGTTTTAACATTTGCAGAAAGGAATAAGATTCGCATTCGCGGGGCTTTGATCTTAGATCGTTCAACTCCACTTTGAACTTGAAACATCCATCTTTCATGCCTCACATTTCCGCCCTCGAATGCGTCTAAAAAACCAAATAGAACAAATAGATAATAGATGGCAATAGATCCATGCTAGGAGGCAAATACTTCTCTGGGTGTACTTGAAAATGCCTGAGAACCTTCTGTCACTTTGTCAAGACCTATGACACCACCGCTGGGTACAAGCTATTTCGGTGCGACCAGCAAATGATCCAAGATGATCCAAGCATCCGATCATCTCGACCATGGAAGCTCTAGGCCTAGGCCTAGGCTGCCTGAGAACAAGATGCTGCCAGCAGTCTAAGATTGGACCCAAGTCAAAACCATCACATATGTCTGAAGATATTGCCACAGAAATTGTCAGAATAGAGGTTGAAGAAACCGTCACAAGACATGCCACAGAAATTGTCAGAACAGGGGTCGAAGAAACCGTGACAAGATATGCCAGAGAAATTGTCAGAATAGAGGTCGAAGAAATCGTGACAAGATATGCCAGAGAAATTGTCAGAATAGAGGTTGAAGAAACCGTGACAAGATATGCCACAGAAATTGTCAGAATAGAGGTCGAAGAAATCGTGACGAGATATGCCACAGAAATTGTCAGAATAGAGGTTGAAGAAATCGTGACAAGATATGCCAGAAATTGTCAGAAATTATGTCAGAAGAAATCGTGACAAGATATGCCAGAGAAATTGTCAGAATAGGGGTCGAAGAAATCGTGACAAGATATGCCAGAGAAATTGTCAGAATAGGGGTCGAAGAAATCGTGACAAGATATGCCACAGAAATTGTCAGAATAGAGGTTGAAGAAATCGTGACAAGATATGCCAGAGAAATTGCCAGAATAGAGGTCGAAGAAAGAAGTGCCAGAGAAATTGTCAGAATACAGGTCGAAGAAATCGTGACAGGATATGCCACAGAAATTGTCAGAACAGAGGTTGAAGAAATCGTGGCAAGATATGCCAGAGAAATTGTCAGAATAGAGGTTGAAGAAACCGTGACAAGATATGCCACAGAAATTGTCAGAAAATATGTCAGAAGAAATCGCGACAAGATATGCCACAGAAATTGTCAGAATAGAGGTCGAAGAAATCGTGACAAGATATGCCAGAAATTGTCGGAAAATATGTCAGAAGAATTCGTGACAAGATATGCCAGAGAAATTGTCAGAATAGAGGTTGAAAGAAACCGTGACAAGATATGCCACAGAAATTGTCAGAATACAGGTCGAAGAAATCGTGACGAGATATGCCACAGAAATTGTCAGAATAGAGGTTGAAGAAATCGTGACAAGATATGTTGTCAGAATAGAGGTCGAAGAAATCGCGACAAGATATGCCACAGAAATTGTCAGAATAGAGGTCGAAGAAAGAAGTGCCAGAGAAATTGTCAGAATAGGGGTCGAAGAAATCGTGACAAGATATGCCAGAGAAATTGTCAGAATAGGGGTCGAAGAAATCGTGACAAGATATGCCACAGAAATTGTCAGAATAGAGGTTGAAGAAATCGTGACAAGATATGCCAGAGAAATTGTCAGAAAATATGTCAGAAGAAATCGCGACAAGATATGCCACAGAAATTGTCAGAATAGAGGTCGAAGAAATCGTGACAAGATATGCCAGAAATTGTCGGAAAATATGTCAGAAGAATTCGTGACAAGATATGCCAGAGAAATTGTCAGAATAGAGGTTGAAAGAAACCGTGACAAGATATGCCACAGAAATTGTCAGAATACAGGTCGAAGAAATCGTGACAAGATATGCCAGAGAAATTGTCAGAAAATATGTCAGAAGAAATCGTGACAAGATATGCCAGAGAAATTGTCAGAAAATATGTCCGAAGAAATCGTGACAAGATATGCCACAGAAATTGTCAGAAAATATGTCAGAAGAAATGTCGGGAAAAAAGGTTTGAAAGATGGTGGGACAATATGTCCAGGGAGATGTCATGATATATATATATATATATATTCACGATATGTCACGATATGTCGCGATAAGTATCATAGAATTTACGAAATATGTGTCAGAGAGCTTGTCAGAATATATGCAAGCAAGTATGTATATCATATCTAGATACAAGAGTCATGTCAGAACTTGTCAAAAGATATGTCCAAATAGCGGAAAATCTGTCATGTTACATGGTGCAAAAAAGTATGGCGGCTGTTCTATCTACATGTTCTTGTCGGGGCAGGGTCCCTCAATTTTCCTTGAGGAGGCGCTTGCTCGCCCAACTGGACAAACAACTGGTCAAGTTCAAACCCATGCCTTCGGCACGCAATCTTGAACCATCTCTTGGACCACGAACCTTTTTTGAACCATCAAGCATCTTCCAGGCTTCCACACCCGCTCTCTCCCTGCACTTCTGCAGCACCATCTTCACTCACAGGTGCCGCATCGTGCACAGGTGACACTTCTCTCCTCTGCAAAGTCAACAGAACAATGAACTGGTTTGCCGCTCTGCGTTTCTGTAGCTCTGCAAAAACAGTGAGCAAGCCAGCTTACTAAGCCTGAAGGATTTGGAATCTTAGCAACTATATGGATTTCATTACTGAAGAGGAAGAAGGGGAATAGCTCCTGTCTGCAAAATCCTCAGCATTCATTGACCTCAGCGTGGCGAACTCGCGATCTCCGTGATCCAGACTTACGTTTGCAACCGCTAAGCAGATCTTCTCACCACGTCCAACCTGCGGCGCTACCTGGGCCCAGCACTGCACTTCAATCTCGGCTGCCAATGTCTGCCTCCTGCGCCGGGATTCCGCTCAAGTGACAGCAGGTCACAGTTGGTCTTAGCATCTAGGTGATGGCAGTCCAGCAGTCCCTGTCCCTTCTGACTTGTCAACCCTGTCCTCCTTCCGAAATCTTCATCAGCTTCAGGCACCGACTCCTCTCCTTCCAAAGGCCTAAGACAAAGGTTCCTTCATCTTGAAAAAAAACTATCATGCACGCTTGGAACTTTTTGAGATAAAACGAGTTCATGTTTCTCCAACCCTCTGGACCTGAGCAATGCACAAGTCTTCCGCGCTGCCTTCTATGCACACTGATGTCTCATCTCTCCTGTGCGCAGAGGCACAAGGGACTTTGCACGGCACCAGCACTGCACCGCTCCTCACATCTTTTTCATCTTTTCGTGCTCTCTGTATCAACTTCGAAAAATCCACTATAAACTGAAAACGGATCAAATCGAGGTCCTTCTCTCGCCTTCTGCATCGGCATCCAACCTAAGCCAGGGAACGAGGTCGGGTCATCTGGGGCTGTGCCAGGGATACTCAGACCTGAGCCAATAAGAAGTTAAGGAGACCATGGGAATCAATGGAAATTTCCCATCGCCAGGTTAGATCACCAGAAGACGATTGAATGGCCCATTACATGACTAGGTACTGCAGTTTTTGCGGTAGTTTTTCGGCATGTAAAGAACGAAAGCAAGTTGCCTCATAATCGGACAACCCCCCTTCCATCCTATAGTTAACCAATTGGGTCTCACCCCTCATGAACTGAGACGACGCCATAGATGGAAGCAACACAAGGGCCATTGAGCTGAGATCGTGACGCTTCCTCATTCGCCTGGGTCACCATGACACTGAATCAGCTGAAACCAACCTAGAGTGGAGCAGTCTCAACTTTTGGAAACCCAAATCCTGATTTATCATGATTTATCTATGTCTCGGCATTTTACCATTTTGGAGTAGGGATCAAGGAGATGCATAAGGCCTTCAGCCGTGGCACATAAGTTGCTCATGTACCCACAGTCACCAGCGGTCAGGCGGCAGTATTGCGGCAGTAATAGCATTTGCTGAGGAAGACATCGAAAAAGTGTCACTAGGAAAACGTGCTTCAGAAGAATTCAAATGAGAAATCAACGGCGAACCTTTCAAGATCACCACCTAGTTTGAAACATTTTCCTTAAACCCGTCTTGGGCGCAACCAACTGACACCAACTGATCAACTGCGGAAGGGAGACCCACAATGTGTGTGTGTCACCACGTTGGAGAGCACGAACCGTGGCTTGATCGGCTCCACTCCTCGTAAGACATGTCATGCCGGCCGCAGCAACCCTGATCTTCCCCAATGAACTAACAGTATCATGTTGGATCAACTCTGTGGAACCAATGCTACCGATGCCATGGGGCTCCCATAAGGCTCCTGTGCGATTGGAGCGATGCAATGGCACGATGAATCGTGCCGCTTTCTGCGTTGCTGATGACTTCTTTGGTACTGTCGAGAACATTCTCGCCGCCAAGGGCTTGGCTTATGGTGTCCAAGAGCCCTTCGACAATGCCTCAGAACAAAAAAAATACACGGGTCGTCTTTAACCCTCAACTCTCGCAGCAAGCCCTTCATGGGGCCCCTTCAGCTAATGTCCAGGCAATTTCATCACAGTTGAGATCACCAGAACGAGAAACATGCGGAGCTTTAAAAAACCCGATGCCTGAGATTGCCCGATCTTTAAAGGATATTTTTTTTGCAATTCCCCGGTGGCTCGAGGAGTTTAGTTGAAACACATAGACCGACTGGCCTCGTACAGTGCGAAAAATGGATGGCAATTCTTCCAGACCACCTGCAAAATGCGCCAAAACAGATCGACAGGTCGCAAGTAATGTCGCATGTTTTTTAATGTCACATGATCTCTATATATTCATATAAGTATATATATATACGTACTGTATATATATATATATACACGTACTTATGCAATGCAGCACATATTATTTTATATTTATATATATAACATATATATATATATATATATATACATATATTTACATACATACATATATATATACATATATATACATATATTTATATATTTACATATATACATATATATATATACATACATATATATATACACACATACATATATATATATACATACATATATATACATATACATAAGTATACATATATATATATATTTATTTATTTATTTATACACAAAAAGGCGCGCTGACAGGACCCCATTTTCCCACTTTTTTAGGGTTACACTCTTTATATATTTATACATTTACATATATATATATGTATACACTGGTACATATTTATATATATATGACTCCAGTCCGATCCAGCGCACTTGTTTCTTTTTCTGGCTGTCAGCACAAACTGTTTGCAAAACGTTTAGTTTAAGTCTAAGTGGATCTGTGATTCTTCTTCGCATCACTTAGGGCCACAGCAAGATAAGCCACGAACCTTCAAGTCTCACGTGTGATATCATCCGCCGGTTCACTCATGAACCTTCAAATCTCAACGTCTGATATCATCAGTCATGAACCTTCAAATTTCAACGTCAAATATCATCCAGTCATGAACCTTCAATCTCAACGTCTGATATCATCCCAAATCCCTGCATGTCACGCTTGCAAGGCAATGGCCGCATTAGTCGCCACCACCTCAGCAAAAGGCCAAGGATAGGGCTGAGCTCGAAGTGTCCAAAAACATCCGGAGCTGTCACATCCTGCCAGGGCGGTGTGCGGCCGTTGGGTGCGACTGCGCTTGTTTTTAATAGTGCCGCATTTGCGATGCAATGGAGAAAGGTCCCAAAAATTTCCAATAACAGCTGTAGGTTTCTTCCAAGGTTCACCATACTGACAAAAATCCAGAGTGACTGATTTCACGGTATACTTCTGAATGAATGCACGCAATGAAGGCATGTCTCATATGAAACTCGAAGCTGGATTTTCCAAGGCATACGGCACGCCCAGTTGTTCACATGCACTCAACAGCCGAAGTGATACCTGCAACAGGGCATTGCCCCCGCGGACTTTCTTCTTATCAGCACAGTTTAATATAGGCAAGCCACAAACATGGTGTTCACTACGGATAGCACCCGGACCCACACCATCATATTTACGTGCACGAGTAAACGAAGTGCAAGGAATACCAACCCACAAAAATCTAATATGACCTCCTTGAATCCAATGAAGAAGTATGTGCTCGACATGAACATCCAAAACATTCTGCCAGGGGTCAATGCAAATACCGATTGGAAACGTCAACAGGCCTTTCTTGAGAAGGCATTTGGCGACACGTGCTGTACCTGCAAGCAACTGAAAGCAAAACTTTGGAGGCATCGACCTCATCGAAAAAACTTCAGGCCATCCTAAGCTGGTCACGGCATCTTTGGGGAAGTCAAGCCTTTCATAACAAGCTCCATGTTGAGAAGAGACCAACGACAAAATTCCAGATGTCCGGCTGACAACTTGCTGATCACCTGTTGGCTCTTTCTAGTTTTTGTGTACCGTCGTACACTTTGATCTGTCATCCAGCGGCCACGCTGTTTGACATTGGCGTGGTCGCGCCCTTTGCCGTTGAGGTCTTCTGCTGCTCCCCCATGCCGTGTCTGGTAGGGGTGAAGAGCATCCAGGTTCAACATCTTCCCTGCCTCCACAAAAACTTTCTTGTACTGCGCTGCATCGAAGGGAAAGAGCTTGTGCCCGAGGGACTTCAACTCCTTGACCCGGTGGTGAATCAGGGGGCCCCAAAAAATTATCTGCCCTTGCTGTTCAGAATCACAGTGTTGTCGAACACTCCGACCTTGTCGGGCTTTGCATCCAAGGAATTTCGGACGATGACCGCATACCATTGGTACTGTCTTCCTGCCCCCTTCACTGGCAACACGATGTCCCTGCCTTTGAGATCTATAGACTCGCCAGGTCTGAGGTACGTGTCGTGGTCAAGGAGCAACTTCAGGGCGTACAACCTTTTGCCCTGGGACTGTGAACCAACTTCCCACGCAGGCTGGCGAACTTGTACTCTACTGCTGCCACTAGCTTCTCTCCTTCGCATGATGCCTTTCCTTGAATGAACTCCAGATCCAAGAAATCTGCCAGAAACTCGTCGCACCTTTTGGAAAGCCAACTGGTGCCTTCCTCCCGGCAGAAATTCTCGAACCACTCCAAATGTTGACCATATTGGTGCCGCACTTCGCTGGAAACACTCCTCTCTTCCAGGAGAGTCAGCTTGTTGTTCCTCGCTCTTGATCCAGCATTGACCTCCTCCTTCAACGGCAATCGCTGGATAGAGCGCCTCTTCTTGGGAATCTCCACCTTGTCCTCTTGCACCAACACTCGCTTCGCTTGTTTCTGAACTGTCTTCTCCAGCTTGGCCACTTTCAACGACTTGCTGCTCAAAGCCCGAGTCGCTCCAACGCCATGAGCTGGGGCTGGTTTCTTTTTGGGTAGGACACGAGTTGAGGGAGTTGCTTTGGGGCCCTGCGCTTGTTTTCTGACAAGGACCCGGGAGGAGCTGCCCTCTAGATGGGCCATCTGCCACATTCAACTCACTAGGTATCCATCTCAAACGGACATTAAAACCACCCGCTCAGGCCAGAGCCGCAATCTGCTGCGTGATTCGCAACATGGCCACATTGTGACAATGGCCCTTGTTCACTGCCAATGCCAATGCCAGATTGTCTGCCAGAAACAAATGCTTTTTGGCCCTGTTCTTGGATGCCCTTGTCAATCGCCGAACCGCCAAAACTAAAGCCATGCCCTCCTTGATGGTAATATGCTCATCAACTTTTCCCCATTTTCCTATTTTCTTGGTCTTCCATTTTCGATGAGGCACCTCCGGAAAATTCTCGTTGTCGGCCAAACGCTCATCCCCAAACTCATCAATACTTGTACCAATGACAGTAAGACCTGAACCAAAGACATCGGCCCCCTATGAGTGTCTCCTTGGCCCCCATTCTGCAGGTGGCAGCCTCTTGTATCGCCAGCGCTCCTGCCAACGACCAACTTCAGCTACGACATGAATAGGCACATCGCAGTGGCAAATGCCAAACCCGTCAAGGAGGCATCAGTACAGTTAACAGTAGAGGACCACTGCCTCATGGAACTGAATAACATAGGGATTAAGCCTACAAAGTTTAACCATTCACTTTTCGCTTGGAGGTTGAGGAAACGCGCGCCTCCGCCAAGCTGCACAAAGTCATACAATGTCGAAAAATACACATGCCATATCTATTCATGGTGCAAACCACCATAGCATGACCCAACAACCTCTGAACAACATCAGGGTGCACCTTGTGGTAGGCCATGTGCTCAAATGCGAGAATCAACGCCCACAGCCGCTTCACTGTGGTACGCACCTCGCCGCAGTCACCATCGACTACTCCACCAAGGGTCTTGAAGTGAGTGTTTGCGGACTCTTCTTCATGAACTGTAAAACCTAGTTGCCTGAGATCCTGCTTAGCATTCTCACATGTGTTGTTACAGATCTGCTCATCAAACGACAGGACATGTGAATTGTCGCAATATGGCATAACAACACAACCCCCTTCTTCCAAGACAGGTGCAGGAAAACCATCCAAGATCAGTTGCTGCTGCGGTATGCCAAGCGCCCGACAAACAGATGACTCATGGATACACTGCACCAAATAGAAAGACCAACTGAACCCCATGGGTAGCACGCTGGTCGCTGGAGAATAAAACCGCTTTGATACTGGGCCCCAAATTCACCATCAGTGGCCAAATAAACTTCATGCCCGGTGATGATCACTCAGTGCCTCTTCCACTCGGACTGCATAGAAGCAGTCGTTGATGTCAGCACCTGAGATGAAAAGCTTCTGACCATCAGGAATAAACATCTCGCTGAGGGCCGTCAAAGACCCCAGGTTGGTGTGCGGGGACGGTCTGAAAAGACCATTGACCATGCGACAATCCAGAACCAGCCTCTGACGGGGAACTAAATTACCATCAACCACTTTAGGTTTTTTTGAAACAGCAAAAGCCTCAACACGGCCACAGCATTTCTGAGAGAACCTAAGAACACCCCTCTTCTACAACTCTGCGATGAAGTCGAGGTACACACTGCGATCTTTGAGACAGGGATCATCATAGGGCCGCAGCGACTCCAGGTCACTCGACAGACTTGTCCAAACATCGGCGTCCTGCAGCATATGATCCTCAAAGTTCAAAACCAGGACCACCTCTTGCAAAGGCCCAGAAAGCGCACCGACGAGATCTACCCCAGCCACCCGTTCTTCAGGAAGAGACAGCTGAGCCAAATCCATCGGCACTTTGTCACCCACGTCAGCCTCAAAGTTGCCATAAGTAGAGCTGGCCGCTCGAAGCGCCTGAAGGGCTTCAGAGCCATGAACATGCAAAGGAGGATGGCCCAACTTCTTAACACAACATAGAATATCGGAGATTGCCAACCTTTGGTTCAACGGCAGCTCATCCAAACGTCGCACTGATGCCTCAGCAATGACCAAAGTAGTTCTTTTGGCTATCTCAGCTCTCAAATGAATTCTTCTGGCGACAGCGCTGCGCACCTTCCTATTTTCCAACTCCTCCGCAAAGGCAGAGGAACCGCTGGTCTGGAAAAGGAACATGAAAAACACGGCTGCTCCAACGGCTCTTGCCTTTTTGCATGCTGCAGTGGTACACGTCTCACAGCAGTCAGCCACTGCCCTGACAGCTGCGGGGCCAATCTACATCGGAGAGCCGCCCCTGGGCTTGGGGGCGGCCTTGGGGTTGTTCTTTGCCTTGCCTTTCCCATTGCTTTTTGCTTCCTCCATTTCTCGCTTTTCTTTCATGATTGCATTCTGGGCAGCCATCTGCTTCGAAACATGTGGTCTGTCAAAGAAGCAGTAACAATACCACCTCCTGCTCTATACGACTGCCCCATGTAATGGTCGGCGGCAAGGTATGAAGGCATTCCCGGACTCTGGGAGTGAGCGTCTGCTATCAACTGGCGACGCCGAGCCACAAGTTCCATACAGCAGAGATTTGTGATGTCCAGGCAATCGTATGTCACTGCTGTATACTCGGGCCAGGCATCCATCTTCAAAGATGCTCCGGTCCCCCTCGGGGATACGGGAAGCCCCTACTCACATATGATGCTGCGCCACTGCGCTCTCACTCACCGCCGCGATGGCCTTTGCATAGTCGAGCGTAGTGCGAGGCATCACAATGGGAAATCAGCGAACTCAACTTGTTAGAACTCCTTGGCGAACTCCCTGAAAGTCCTCAATCTCTCACCATTGGCACCATATCGGACTTCCAGCGTCCGCACGTCATCCGCCACGAATCTATCTTCACCAGCAGAAGCCTCTGAGGTTCGCATCGCCTGTACTCGTTCTTCGCAGTATCCAGGAATGTCATCCTCTCTCACCCGCCTGATGGTCACTGTTTTCGCATGCGCCCCTCAAGCGCCCATTGTCATGAGACCGAAATCACCTAGTTGAGAGTGGCCTATACTAGAAAATCAACCCTATCACCAATCTTCATCCCATTCCAACACTCAGCCAAAACCCAAACTTCATCGCCTGCCGCCTGCGGAGGGGCTGCCGGCTGCCGCTGGCACAGCTCCAGCAGCTCCTCCCACAAGCCCACGGCGAGCACGTTCGAGTCCCGCTTCAAAACGACCTGCAGCAATCAGAGCTGACAATTCAGCCGCTGTCATGGGAGCAAAGGCGCAGACAGAAGCAGGGTTGATGGAGGGTGGAACCCCCTCCAGGCAATGCAGGGGTGCAGATCACTGTTGGACAAATCCAAAGTCTCACAAAACAGATCTAGGTCTGGTGTGGCCACCACGTAGTCCATCCGCTCAATGTGCTCTACGATCAGGCGGGTGTGAAAAACCTCTGGGATCTCCCCGTAGTTCAAAAACATCCGTGAACCAGTGTTTAGAACAGCCATGTCTAATTGCTGATAGACAAGCCTTTGGCGCTTCCGTAAATGCCTGTAGCTTTGCCTTTCACTGCCACAGACACAGTCTTGTCCAGTCCCCTACTAGTGGCCTGATATGAGAATCGAAGAGCTAGCGCTGTGTTACCAAAAGCCACCAACAAGATGAGACCGACAAAGATCACCACCCAAAGCAGCGGAGATGAACAGTTGGACTCCAAATTGGTGGGGGCAGCAACAGTGCACTGACACTTGCAAACTTGTTGAGGGTTTTTTCGAGGGAGAGTCCACTCACGCAGCAACCAACCAATCGAGAAAGCTACAGCCCCCAACCACGGGGTGTCCTCCATTGCACCGATTCCCCGATGCGCCTTGAAGTCTTTGAAGACAAAAACAGCATCCAAACATCAAATGCTGAGGCCTTTCGTCAAAAACCTGTAAACAGGGAAAATACATATCTATCTATCTATCTATCTATCTACCTATCTATCTATCTATCTATCTATCTCTCTCTCTCTCTCTGCCTGTCTATCTATCCATCTATCTATCTATCTATCTATCGATCTATCTACCGATCTATCTATCGATCTATCGATCTATCGATCTATCTATCTATCTATCGGTCTATCGATCTATCGATCTATCGATCTACCGATCTATCGATCTATCCATCTATCTATCTATCTATCTATCTATCTATCTATCTATATTTATGGATATATATAATATATAGTTATAAATATATATGTATATATATATACATGTGTGAATACATTCTGTGTGTATACGTACATCAGAACATCCTAGCGCCATTGCTAACATGATCAACAAATTCCCGGCCGTTCTTTTTTCATCCCCCAGGAAAATGTAGGTTTCATCGACGGCGTTCGCGAGTTACTATTCGAATGTGGTTTTTGTATGGTTTGTGTTTCTACACTTCGCGCTGGAAACTTTCACTCTGTTCCTTTCGGGTCTGGAAAGGTGTCTGTTTGAATTTGATTCTTGATGTCGATGCTCCCTGGGTCCCAAAATTCCTCAAACTGTTCCAAGAGAACCGCCGACTCCAGCCTGATACAGGGGGAGCGCGTCAGAGAAGAGGTTTCAACCAGAAAGTGGCAACAGACAGCGCCGAAGAACAAGAGAAAGGGAAAGAGAAGGGAAAGAAGAGAAGAAGATGAAGAACATGAAGAAGATGAAGAAGAAGTAGAAGAAGGAGACGAAGAGGAAGAGGAAGAAGATGAAGAAGAAGAAGAGGAAGAGGGAAAAAGAAGAAGAAGAAGAAGGAAAACAACAAGAGAAAGAGAAGGAGGAAGAAGAAGAAGAAGAGAAAGATCAAGAACAAGAAGAAGAAGAGGAGGAAGAAGAAGAAGAACGCGACGAAGAACGCAAAAAAAAACAAAAAGAAGAAGAAGAAGAAGAAAAAGAAGAAGAAGAAGAGGAAGACCAAGAAAGAGAAGAGGAAGAAGAGGAAGAAGAAGAAGAAAAAGAAGAAGGGTAAGAAGAAGAAGAAGAAGAATAGAAAGACCAAGAAGAAACAGAAAAAGAAGAAGAAGAGGAAGAGGAAGACCAAGAAGAAGAATAACAAGAAGAAGACGAAGAAGAGGAAGAAGAAGAAGAAGAAGAGAAAGAGCAAG